TCACCATATATGAAGTTAGGTTATGTTGAGCCTATGATCCAACCTAACCTAACATAACCTTAAACATATTTTTGTGACATATAACCTGTGCAAAAATTAATGGAACGCCATTAATTTTTACAGAGACGACTACCAACAGTTGGTTTTCCAAGCGCTTTCCTTCAAGAAAGGCGAGATTACACTGCTGCCGCCCGCCATAATCAAACCGCAACAGCTGTGGTCCGGTAAACAGATCCTTTCCACGGTCATCATCAACATCATCCCCCAGGGGAGGGCGCCTATAAATTTGACCGCAACGTCAAAGATCCCAGTAAAGGCACGTACATAGACAAAGCGTTTTCTTTTTCTTCAAATTTTGGTGTTGATTTATTTGCGTCGTTGGTTTTAGGCGTGGCAAGCGCGACATCCAAGGAGATGGAAAGCGGGCGGTACCACGTTTTCTAGTCCTATTACGATGAGCGAGACCGAGGTTATAATAAGAGAAGGCGAATTGTTAGTGGGAATTTTGGATAAATCGCACTACGGGGCAACGCCCTACAGCTTGGTGCATTGCATGTATGAGGTGAGTAGTGTGCAAAAATGTGTATGGGTGAGACTTGTTTTTGACATTATTTCCAATTATCGTTATTTCGTTACTTGCCTTTTTAATTTTTTTTTTTTTTTCTAATCGTTTAATTCATTTTTAATTATTTCGTATATCAATTTTTCTTCACATTATAATTTGCATTTTCAGTGAATTTGAAAATTTTAACAAAGTTCACAAAAATACCCTTAGGATATTTTTTATTTAAATTAGGATTCTGTAATTACGTTGAACGAAATTAAACAAAGTTGTAATACCGGAATATATAAGGGTGTTGAATAAGTTGTCGCTGTTTTTTCGTGAAAATTAATGCTTTATTTAAAAAATATCAGTAAAAACTTGTCACTGAACATATTGTACATCTCAAGCCATTATTTTTTTGGATCTTTCTTGCAACACTTTAATTCCATGTCGGAAAAACGACACGTCTTTCGAGGTTATCCAAGCGTCGGTTCATTTTGTTGGCGTCTTCATAAGAATGCAAGTGCTGCTCAGTCTGGTCATGTGTCATCGATCGGAACAAGGAGCAATGTCTGGTGAATATGTCGGGTGGGGTAGGGCTTCCCGTATAAGCATTTCCAAGTAAGTTTTCACCGGTTTTGCAACATGTTGCCCAGCGTTGTCATGCTGTAAAATCACTTTGTCGTGTCTCTGCTTGTATAGCGGCCATTTTTCCTTCAATGCTTGTCCCAAACGCATCAATTGTAGTCGATAGCGATCTCCCGTGATGGTTTCATTTGGTTTGAGCACCTCGTATTAAACTACACCCAGTTGATCCCACCAAATGCAGAGCTGAAGCTCGGAACTATGGAGCTCGGAGCTTTGCTGATGATGTTGACGCTGGTTGGGCTTATCCCACGATTTTCTACTCTTACGATTAATTGTAGCGCATCTATTTTTCATCGCCAGTCATGAGATGATGCAAAAAACCTTCCCGTTTCTAGCATTGAAGCGCTGTTCACACGTGCAAAGAGGCTGTTCGACGTCTGTCGACTTCATTTCGTACGGCACCCAATGTTCTTGCTGTTGATTCATTCTTAACGCTTTCAAACGTTTTGAAACTGTTATGTGATAAACTCCAAATGGTTCTGCAGATTCAGTTAGCGTTTAACCTTCAATTCCTCATCTTCAAACTGTTTTGGTGCTGCAGAGCATTCTTTATCTTCAACTTCAAAACTTTTGAACCGTCAAAACCAGTTTCTGTGCGTTGTTTGCGACAGAGCATGGTCGCCGTAAGTCTCAATAAGAATTGTGTGCTTTTGCAGCAGTTTTCTTTTGAATAGAGTGCCGCAATAATTCCTCGCAAATACCCTTTTTTCGGCATGAAATTCGACATGTTTAAAACTATGAAAGGAAAATTACATCTTTACCGTTGCGTTACCATCTTGAGCTACACCCGTGCAGTTCTGGTAACGCCATCTGTTGGAGAACAAGAACTTATTCATCGTCCAACAGTAGTGTATATTGACGTTCAAAGCTCGCATAAGGCTCAGGCCTCAGGAAACGGAGTTCGTATGGAATATAATAATTACTAGAAAGGTAGGCAAGTCCGCTGACGCGGACTTGGTCTTTGTCTCGGGTTTTCGGCCCTTCGGCAGCATTTTGATGATGCTCCCTGTAAGGTAATATATCGGTTAAATCATCATCTTTGTAAATATTTGCCATTTTAAACAACGAAGTTATGTAGTGTATTGTTTGAAATCCAGATCACTACTGGTTTGAAAAACTAATTATTGAGTTCTATGCGGGTTGTAAGGAAAATCTCAACCTAAAAAACATCCTGCATTGATTTATTAGCACAAATCAGGGGAATAATAATAATATTTAACGTGAATAAGCCATAGTAGTCTATTATTTTCCCTCTTCTAGCTATACGGGGGTTTATACGCCATCAGGACGCTCTCCTCTCTCGCTAAATTGTTCATGAGGTTCCTGCAACAAGAAGGGTTCACGCTGGGCGTTCACGATATCCTGACCGTAAGGAAAGCCGACTCGAAACGGAGGAAAATAATAAAAGATTCGAGGGAGATAGGGGTAGAAGTTATTACCACCGCCTTAGATTTACCCGTAGACACTCCCCTGCATGAAATCGTGGAAAAGATCGAGGAGGCCAGTGCGACGAACCCGAAAATCAGGGCCGTGATCGATCGGCAGTACAAGTCGTCGTTGGATTCTTATACGAACGATATCAACAGGTGAGTTGGATAGTGACAATTTTTTTTTACTATTTTGTGCGTACGTTGACCTATTTTTTTTTTTAATCTGACTATAGTTTTTGCCTGAAAAATGGCACCGAATTACAATTCTTCTAATTTTTACAAAAAAAAAATGCAGTTGGCCATGGCTATGAGTTATAAAAGTAAATGCCATCGATGTGCTTTCATGAGACCTATTTCACAGAAAAAAGTGTAAAAATCAATCAATAAATAAAAAAAGGATGGCTGGCTAGTCGAGCAGAACACATTGTATATACAGGGTGTTCAAAAAATAAGTGCAAAAGTGAAATATTGATTTTCTTGATGAATTTTAAAGGGCACCTTCCATATACAGGGTGACATAGAAAAAAGTACATTGCATAGTGCCACACAATAGAGGACGCTAAAACAAGAAAAAAAGTTCCTATGAACATGGGTCCGCAAGGCCTTCAGTTAAAGGATACGGGGTGTTGAATTTTAATTTTTTTTTATTTGCAAAAACAATGATAAATACTTCAACAATTAAATTTTAATGGTATGATGAAAAATATGATTAATTAAAACAAAACATTAAGTTTTTAGAAGATGTTCAAATTGTTGCCCTTGTACTTCAATACATTTTTCCATTCTTCTTCTTAATGATTGACGGCATCTTTGAAATATTCCTAGGTTATTATGAAATCTATCTGCCGATTCCATAATTCTTATCCATAATTGTTCTTCATTATGTATTTCTACAGCATAAACTTCATTTTTCATAAATCCCCAAAATGAAAAATCGAGGGGATTAAGGTCGGGACTACGAGCTGGCCAGGGTACAGGCCCCCTTCGACCAATCCACCTATTTCCAAATCTCCTGTCCAAATATTCCCTTGCCACTCGAGAAAAGTGAGCTGGCGCCCCATCATGCATGTAATACATTCTTCCAATAATGGCCAATGGGACATCCTCTAATAATGTGTTTAAATCATTCTCCAAGAAATTTCGATACAGTGCACCTGTCAATCGATTGGGCAATCGAAATGGGCCAATTAAGTAATTGTCGATTATACCTGCCCACACATTAATAGAAAACCCATATTGGTGACTCCGAATTATAGTTTGATGAGGATTTTCATCACTCCAATGGTGCATGTTATGTAGGTTCAGAATACCATCACGACTAAAACTAGCTTCGTCAGTAAACAAAATTGATGAAATAATGTTTTCTCTTTGGTTTTGAAACCATTCGNTTTGATCAAGCACTTGGAAGGGCTGCACGTCGGTTACGACATGACTGTCAGGAACAGCGATAAGAGCGTGATTCAGGTACTTAAAGACAAAGTTCGGTGGATTTGAGCAGGGTTCATATAATTGTGATTTTGCGAATTACTATTTTGCCAACATTGTTGTAATTAGCGAATTTAATTGAAAAATTCATATTTTTTACTTAAATCAGTCTGTCACAGTAAAATTTGTGTTTCTCAATTCACGATTGTCTGATCCTGGATTTTAAACATTTACAGAAAAAAAAAACAAGAAGAAGAGAAGGTAGAGGATTTAATTTTTCTGACCTTTCATTAACATTATACTGTCTTTTCTCATCATTTTAAAAGAATCAGAATTGCGCGATCATGTTAGAATTATGTTCTAACCTCAAAAATTATAGGTTAGAATGCCAACCTAACCTTGAAAGCTTGCGTGAAAGCATTAAAAACTTACAATTCGTATGGAAATAAGTACATACCATCCATCTAGATCATTTTTTTAAAAGAGCTGAGTACAAATTTGACACTACAATTGATCAATTGAATATTGACCACTTTCTAACCTCAAAAAATCGAGATAATCGAGTTTTTGTATATATAGATACTTGAGCATTTAATAACTGCGAAATAGTGGAAAGGAACTAATAAAATAAAAAATCTGTGTTTTGATGTGCAATAATTTAATTCTTTTAAGGTAAGCATCAGATTTCCAACCTAACCACAAAAAATTCCAATTGACCAAAGAATAGCAATGCTCTAAGAGTTGGAGGTTTATATGCTCGAAAGCTCTCTTCGCTTGTTTGAGAGAGATATTGGGCAAGTGGGACTAGCTGACCTCCGTTTCGAATAAGTTGATGCAGTTTTTTGAGGTTAGGTCGAAATTCTATTGCATACTTACCCTAAAAGAACTTAAGGGTTGTGCATTAGAACACATAAGTTTTGTTTTTTACAGGGCTAATCTATTTATACAAAAAAATTGATTACGCTGACATTTTTGAGGTTAGAATGTGGTCATTATTCGAGCGATCAATTCAGATGTCAAATTTGTATACAGTTCTTTAAAAAACACACTAAAGAAATATTACGTCCCGATTTCCATACAATTAGAATATGTCAAATGATGTTACACAAATTTTTAAGGTTAGGCTGGTTGAATTTCCATTTTCATTCGTCTCGTTACACACAGAGTTGTTTCATAAATAAGCAGTATTTTTGCTGATTCAACTTTTTTTTTTTTGAGGTTAGTAAAAAGTCCCGACCTGATGGCGTAATTCCGATGCAAAATTCATATTAACTGGTTCGGAATACGTACAAACTCGTATCCGGCGGCTCGAAATACATGGGAGCTCGTGACGTCATTTAGTGCCTTCGATAATCAAGAAGATGAGTGACAGGAACAAGACTAAACGGCAGATGACAGAAGCAGGATGTATTTTCGGTCGCACTAAATGATGTCACTGTGCGTTCTTGATAAATTTTAATTTTTCCATAATTTGAAATGGCTACAATTTGCAGCATTGAAAAAATTAATTTTTTTTAATCACTGTTATGGACTAGATTTATGTCAGTGTATATTGTTTTGAATTACTGACGTCGCCGTTTCAGTTCAGGTACGGCGAAGACGGCATGGACATATCCAAGGCGCAGTTCTTCAACGAGAAACGTCTCGATTTCTTGAAAGACAACATAAAAGCCTTTGCTCAGGATGAACTTATTAAACAGTTCAAGAAGGGAGAGGACCAGTACGAGATAAAACAGCACCACAGAGCCGTAAGTATGATTCGTTTTTAATGCCCCACGATCGGCGCCAGAGCGGCAGTTTGCCTCATTCGTCTCCCCGTAGATAACCAGATGGAAAGCTACGTACGGAGATCCCCTGGAGAAGGTGCGTACGAGCCCTTACCATATTATGATAGAAAGGGTGAAGGAGAGAACGTCGAATATTTTCGAAGCGCATCGTTTGCAAAATATATGGCACAGCGCCGACTCCGATGTTAGAGAGGCGTGAGTTTTTGCAGAGTTACATTTAAGTGTAAATAAATTTAATGTCCGTTATTTTTAGTTGCAAAGATTTTTGCAAACCGTGTCCGGACCCCCTGGATGCCGTTTTCCAGGCGGACAGACATTTCGGTTCGATCAATGAACGGCTGGAATCGATGCTCGAGGATTACCCCGTGCAAAAAAAGAAGAAATTCCTGAACATGATGAAGTTGAAAATCATGCAGTCGATGTGCTCGCCCGGTGAACCCGTCGGGTTACTCGCCGCCCAGGTAAAAATATTCAGCTTTGACCCCAAAAATCGGGGCACTCTGTATATAAATATATTTTTTTAGTCAATCGGTGAACCTTCGACTCAAATGACACTGAACACATTCCATTTCGCCGGTAGGGGCGAGATGAACGTCACCCTGGGTATCCCCCGTCTCAGGGAGATCCTGATGATGGCCTCCAAGAACATCAAAACGCCTTCCATGGAAATCCCATTCATGAACGTGCTTGGAGTGGAGCAAAAGGCGGAAACGCTGAGGAAGATGCTTACGAGGGTCGTGGTGGCCGACGTGCTGGAAAAAATCGACGTTACGACAGAGCTGCAACTGGAGCCAGTAAGGTACTGTGTAAAAAAATTAAATTATTACTCTCTCTACTAGTTTCAAATGGTCTGAAATGGTTAAATTTTGTGCCCCACGTTGGGCGCCAAAATCGGTTTTTGTAATTTTTTGTATCTTTCTGTGTTATGTACGGGGCGATGTTTCTTATCAGAACGTAGAACTAGTCAAATAGATAATTTTTCGAAAAATTGCATATACAGGGTGTGACCTTTGGAAAGACATGACATAAGTTTGTTTTCTTAAATTTTGTTGTAGCGATTGATTTTTTTTTAAATAAATTTTTCGTAATATCCCTTACTACCGGATAGTCTAGAGCGACTCAAACAATTGCGAGATATGGCATGCATTGTTGTCAAATTTTATCTTCCTTCTATTCGTGTACACGTTTTTTTACAATCTCACAGTAACTTGACAATGAAGACGCACAAATACACCATATCATCACTAAATACTGAAATAAATATGGGTTACACAAAGTGTAACTTCATATTTACACGAAGGTTACCTTTGACTTAGAAATATAAGTTTGTTTTCTCAAATTCTTCTATGCAGCTGCTGCATCGTCTTTGAACGAGTATAGAGGGCCTATAGGAGAGCCGGTACCACTCATAACTGCTGAAATTACGGAAAGAGTTCTAGAAAATGAAAATTATGGTTTTCCTTCTGATTGTTATTTTAGGGATCATTTAAAAAAATTAGTTTATCTTTTGTATTCACCAATTGTGAACACAAAATGACGATGAATTTGTTTGTGGATAAAGTATCGCTTGACAGTTTCAAGCAAACGATAATAGGCTTGTTTAGTAATAAAAATTATTAAACACCACGTTGGGCGCCAAAGTCTACTTTTGTAGTTTACTCGAACTTTCCGCTTCTAGGCAGTACCGGTACATCTTGAGGTTCCATATCCTGCCGAAGCGGTGCTACAGCCAGGACTACTCCGTTCAGCCCTGGATGATCATTCAGCACATGAAGAGGTTTTTCTCGGAGATGTTCGCTGCCATCAAAAAATTGTCCAAAATAAATTCCCATGTGTGAGTGTCCCTTGGAATCTGGGACAGTGGCAAATTTATTATTCTTTTTTAACTTGGTAGGGTTATGATGGAGGAAGACCGGAGAAGGAAGAAAACGAGTCGAGCAGCGAATCAAGAGGAAGATGAGGGGAACGGGGAGCAGGATAAAAATGACAATAGCGGAAGGCCGGGGGACCTGAGTAGTTCCGAGGACGAGGTCGAGGACAACGAAGACGCGAAGATCACCAATAAGTTTAAGGATACGCACGAGGGTCAGGAGCCGGAAGAGGAAGAGGAGGAAGGGTCTGATGAAGGTGAGTAGAAATTTATTTTAACAATTAAAAGGGCTCTATAACAAATAGCCTACCAGCAATACATTTTTATAGATTTTATTACACAGTTTGTCTAAATATGAATTAATGCACAAATAACAGACTTTCCACCATTTTAACGCAGATTTTCTATGAAGTGGACTTGGTTTGAAACTCAAATTACTTTTTGGTGTAAAGAAATTTGTAATTTACGATGCCGCTTGTTCAAAATTACACATTTCTTTACAACAAAAAGTAATCCGAGTTTCAAACTAAGTCCACTTTGTAGAAAATCTGTGTTAAAATGGGGAAAAGTCTGTTATTTAGACAAATTGTGTCTAAATAACAGTCCTTTTAACTAAAATTTAAAAAATGTATTTAAAAATTCTTTATTTGTATATAAAAATGTTTTTAATTCTGCCATGATATTACTTTCTTTCGAATTTCTAGAAATATTCTTTGTTTTTGTCGACTTTAAAAATTAATCTTTGTAGTTTTTAATTTTTTTTTAATTTTTAAATATATATGGAATGCTTAGTTTTCAAACCACATCACAAGGGTCTCAGTTATCATAAGGGATACAAAATTAAGGGAATATGTCAATAATGCGCTGAAAAAAATTGGAGCCAGTAAGGTATGGTGTAAAAAGAATTAAATTATTACTCTCTCTACTAGTTTTAAATGGTCTGAACTGGTTAAATTTTGTGCCCCACGTTGGGCGCCAAAATCGGTTTTATAATTTTTTGTATCTTTCTGTGTTATGTACAGGGCGATAATTCTTAACAGAATGAAGAACTAGTCAAATAGATAATTTTTCGAAAATTCGCATATACAGGGTGTGACCTTTGGAAAGTCGTGACATAAGTTGTTTTCTTAAATTTTGTAGTAGATATTGATTTTTTTTAAATCTTTTTTTGTAATCTGTCTTACTACTGGACAGTCTAGTTGCGAGATATGGCATGCATTGTTGACAAATATTTATGGAATGCTTAGTTTTCAAACCACACCACAAGGGTTTCAGTTATCATAAAGTATACAAAATTAAGGGAATTGGGCAATGTTGCCGAATTTATCAATATTGCGCTGAAAAAAATTTATATTTTAATTTTTTTATTTTTCGTACTTTTTAAACAAATTCAATTTTTTTTTCCTGAAAAAATGTTATCTGGTATTAGAGAAGTATGGTATTTAACTTCATTTGATACGATTTCTTAGAAAAATTTTCTTGGAGTTTGAATAAATTTAATACATTTAAAATATAGTAAAAAATGTTTAACTTATTTTGACGTATTTTTCTGATGACTATAGCAAATACACATGTAGAAAGAGTGCTCTGGAAACAAAATGTCAAACTATTACTCCCAACAAAATTTTGACAACTCGGAAAAATTTTCGTGGACTATGTCAAAGTGTAGAGAACAAAAAACACAATTCTCACATGAATCTCTGTTTTCTTCGTGTGAAAACTGAGTTTTTATTTCTCTAAACTTTGACACTATCAGTAAAAGTTCTGCCGTTCTGTCAAAATTTCAAAGCACTCTTTGCAAAAGAGGATATTTCAGTAGGTATTTCAGGGAAAACAAAAGAGTAAACTATATCATATGAACAGAAATTTATGCAGAAGTCCATTATGGCATCCATGAACAAAAAAAATGTCGTATCTCCCTTTAGATATTCAAATTATCCACAAAAGTGTCCTAATAATTGTTGAATTTAAAATATTCACACCCTTCACTTTTCGATTAAACAAAATCAATTAAAATCTAAATTTTTGGAAATTAATTTTCAATCATTCATTATTATAATTTTTTTAACAAAAAATTAATTTTTCGTTTGCCAAACTCCTTAACCTTGTCCTAAATTCGAGTTAGCTTGTTTCTCTTTCAAGGACTGAGATAACCCATGATATGGCTTGAAGAATGGCCGCCTCGCATAAAAACTTACTCGTATGTTGTCAACTAATGATTCATTGCCACGCTAATTCGTGACGTCATTTAGTGCTATCGAGATTAGAGATCGGACAGCCCGAAAGCAAGAGCACAGCAAGAAGTGAGAGTCTGTAGGCTCCCCACATGTTATTTTCTTTAGATTAGGTTCCGTCTCGTCGGCATACGGTCGAGAAACAGGTTGTGTTCTCGATCGCACTAAATGACGTTACGTGGTTTCGATCACGTGACAAAATTAAAATTTTTACGTAATTTTAAACCTGTATAACTAATTAAGTATTTCTATTATATTAGAGTCTGAAACGGAAAACGAAGAGGAAAACCAGNACAATAGCGGAAGGCCGGGGGACCTGAGTAGTTCCGAGGACGAGGTCGAGGACAACGAAGACGCGAAGATCACCAATAAGTTTAAGGATACGCACGAGGGTCAGGAGCCGGAAGAGGAAGAGGAGGAAGGGTCTGATGAAGGTGAGTAGAAATTTATTTTTACCATTAAGAGGGCTCTATAGCAAATAGCCAACTAGCAATACATTTTTATAGATTTTATTACACAGTTTGTCTAAATATGAATGAATGCACAAATAACAGAAAAATTCTTTATTTGTATATAAAAATGTTTTTAATTCTGCCATGGTGTTACTTTCTTTTGAATTTCTAGGAATATTCTTTGTTTTTGTTGACTAAAAATTCATTGTAGTTTTTCAATTTTATTTTTAATTTTTAAATATTTATGGAATGCTTAGTTTTCAAACCACACCACAAGGGTCTCAGTTATCATAAGGGATATAAAATTAAGGGAATTGGGCAATGTTACCAAATTGATCAATAATGCGCTGAAATAAATTGAAGCCAGTAAGGTATGGTGTAAAAATTAAATTATTACTCTCTCTACTAGTTTTAAATGGTCTGAATTGGTTAAATTTTGTGCCCCACGTTGGGCGCCAAAATCGGTTTTTATAATTTTTTGTATCTTTCTGTGTTATGTACAGGCTGATAATTCTTAACAGAACGAAGAACTAGTCAAATAAATAATTTTTCGAAAAATCGCATTGTTTTCTTAAATTTTGTAGTAGATATTGATTTTTTTAAAATCTTTTTTCGTAATATGCCTTATTACTGGACAGTCTGGTACGACTCAAACAATAGCGAAATATGGCATGCATTGTTGCCAAATATTTATGGAATGCTTAGTTTTCAAACCACACCACAAGGGTCTCACTTGTCATAAGGGATACAAAATTAAGGGGATTGAGCAATGTTACCGAATTGATCAATAATGCGCTGAAAAAAATTGGAGCCAGTAAGGTATGGTGTAAAAAAAATAAATTATAACTCTCTACTAGTTTTAAATGGTCTGAACTTGTTAAATTTTGTGCCCCACGTTGGGCGCCAAAATCGGTTTTTATAATTTTTTGTATCTTTCTGTGTTATGTATAGGGCGATAATTCTTCTTTTTCGAAAAATCGCATTGTTTTCATAAATTTTGTAGTAGATATTTATCATAAGGGATACAAAATTAAGGGAATGCGCTGAAAAAAATTTCTATTTTAATTTTTTTATTTTTCGTAATTTTTAAACAAATTCAATTTTTTTTCTGAAAAAATATTATCTGGTATTAGAGAATTATGGTGTTTGACTTCATTCGATACGATTTTTTAGAAAAATTTTCTTGGAGTTTGAATAAGTTTAATACAATTAAAATAAATTAAAAAACTTGTTTTGACGTATTTTTCTGATGATGATACGAAATTATACACATTTAGAAAGAGTGCTTTGAAAACAAAATATCCCAACTATTACTCCCAACGAAATTTTGACAGCTCGGAAGAATTTTCATGGACAATGTCAAAGTGTAGAGAACAAAAACAGTTCTCACATGAATTAATCGAGCAGTCAATAAATTTGAAACGTCTCTGTTTTCGTCATGTGAAAACTGGGTTATTATTTCTCTAAACTTTGACACTGCCAATAAAAGTTCTGCTGTGCTGTCAAAATTTCAAAGCAAGAAGTGAGAGTCTGTAGGCTCCCCACATGTGATTTTCTTTAGATTAGGTTCCGTCTCGTCGGCATACGGTCGAGAAACAGGTTGTGTTCTCGATCGCACTAAATGACGTTACGACGTGTTTTCGATCACGTGAAAAAATTAAAATTTTTACGTAATTTTAAACCTGTATAACTAATTAAGTATTTCTATTATATTAGAGTCTGAAACGGAAAACGAAGAGGAAAACCAGAACCAGGAACAAGAGCAGAAATCCGAAAGCAACACAGTCGTCGATTCCTTCAACTTCGCCCAGAATTACTCGGAAGATGGAAAGAAGTACTTATGGTGCGAAATTACTTTTGCGGTAAGCGTCATAAGAATTTTGAAATGTTTCGTGGTGATTTATCTTTTCACGAGAGTCTGTGTAGATGTTTTCGAAATATTCAAATTTTTCCAACCGAAATCAAATGTCAATTATATTTCACTGTTTCGATGGTCTTTAGCTGCCGCTGAACTTTAAAAAACTGGACTTGACCGCCTTGTTGAGGGAAGCGGCGGCCAAATCCGTCCTGTGGGAAACGCCTCAAATAAAGAGGGCCATAACGTACAGACACGAGAATAAGCTGATCCTGAGGACCGACGGTATAAACATCATGGTAAGTCCGAATTTATTGAAGCATTTAAATGTTGGGTAGTTAAAAATTGTAGTTAGAACAAAAATGTGTCGGTTCGAGTTCACAAACGGTGAACTTTTAAGAAAAAGTCTACAATACCGCAATTTAAAATAAAAATTTTCTACGAAAAGGAATTTTCTACTATGGAATTCTCAGTCTAATGATTCTAATGACGGTAATTTTCCAAAATGACATATTTACGGAGATATAATTTTTTTATGCGTGTTTGCCAAGTCATCTGTCAGGAAAATTATGTAAAAAAAACAACTATTTTAGTTTCACTTTACAGGTTAAATCTAACTATTGCACTGTCAAGATTCTACAGGGTGTTAAAAAAAGAGTGTAAAATATTTAAGGAGGTAGTATGAACCAAAATAAGCAGAAAAGTCTCAATAAACAAGGGTCCGCAAAGTAACGGTTGCGGAGATATGGAATGTTTTATGTTTTTTAGCCCCTTTTTTTATTTTGCAAAAACGTGTATTTTCTTATAATAGTTGGTTGATGTTTAGTGAAATAAACAGTACGTATTTGACAGTTGTTCTCAGTGCACAAGTTTTCTTTCGCTATGGCTGGTTACTCTAACGCAGAATTAACAGACATGCATTTCATGTATGGTCGTGCTAATGGGAACGCCACCGAAGCGCGACGTCTTTATGTTGACGCTTATCCAAATCGCCAGATTCCTTCACAACGCATGTTTGGAAGAATTCACCAAAGATTGCGTGATACCGGTTCCTTGAGCAAACAGTGCCATTTATCCGGAAGACCAAGGTCGGTATCCACTCCTAGAGCAGAAGAAGAAATTCTAGCACTGGTAGAGCAGAATCCAGGTACGAGTGTGCGGAGAATATCAGCCGAGGTAGGAATTAGTGGTCCTCTTGTTTGGAGAATCCTTCACGAGCAACTGCTTTATCCATACCATGTGCAACGAGTACAGGCCTTAAATCCAATAAATGATCATCAAGCACGTTTGGTTTTTTGCCGCTGGTTTCTACGTCATGATGCTGAAGACCCTCGTTTTCTTGCAAACATTCTTTTTACTGATGAGGCCGGGTTCACAAGAAATGGAGTGTTTAATTTTCACAATACGCATATTTGGGCCGACGAAAATCCTCATGCTCTAATAGAATCTGGACATCAGGCACGTTTTTCATTAAACATTTGGATGGGTATTGTAGGTGACAGGTTTCTAGGTCCTGTTGTTTTACCAAACCGATTAACAGGCGCTGCTTACCTCAACTTTCTGCAGAACACACTGTATGAGTTTTTGGAAGACATTCCTTTGAATCAGAGGCAACAAATGTGGTTCCAGCATGATGGTGCTCCAGCTCATTTTTCCATGGCCGTTAGAGAGCATTTACACCAAACTTTTCCACATAGATGGGTAGGAAGGGCCGGACCTGTTTTATGGCCTCCAAGATCGCCTGATCTGAACCCTCTAGATTTCTTTGTTTGGGGATATTTGAAGACATTAGTGTATGGTACTCCTGTAAATAGCCTGGAAGAGCTGCAGCTACGGATTAATCAAAAGTGTCAAGAAATCCAAACCAAGGAGGGTGTTTTCGAAAGAGTTCGAATATCGTTGAGACGAAGATGTCGTGCCTGCTTGGAAATGGACGGAGGGCACTTTGAACATCTTCTGTAACTTTGTTTTTTGTTTCTTAAAAGCTTCCTTTTCTACTTATTTTGGTTCATACTATTACCTCCTGAAATATTTTACACTCTTTTTTTTAACACCCTGTATAGCTCAAAAATTGATAACTGGCTTTAAAAGTGAATTATTATTTTTTTTATTTAATTTTAATCCAAATCCTAACCTCATAATAAGGGAAACAATTGAAAATTTTAATTTAAGAGTAAAATCACATATTTATAAAACAAATCTGTTAAATTCCTCAAAAAAATAAATTTAACAAGTATACGCTTGCTTAGTTTTTGAAAAATAAGGTAATTAAAAAGTAAATTACTACAAAATGCATTTAGACAACCTCTCAAATTAAAGTTGTTATAAGCTTCCGATCCACATGCACACAACACTAACCAACACTGTAACGTACTTTGCTCGGTTGCCAAATTTTTGTAACACCCTTTATATATTTTACTTGGTTTTGAATTTGCGGTGGTGACGGTTCGGTTCAGACGTTACTTGTGGCTGCCCCCGGTATACTACCAACTCTAAACGGAATCTTAATTCATAAGTGCAAATTTTAATTTACTAGATTTATTGACGTCACTGACGTCCCTATCTGGACGCCTACTTTATGACGACCCTTGACTACTAGTTTATCGGCGGCGGTGGTCGGCAGCCGGCGGTGGTGAGTGACGTCACAGAAACGTACTCCGGATTAAATCTTTTTGTGCGGATTGTCTCGGGCGCCAGTTTCCCAATCGGTTACGTGGGGGAAACTCCACGTGAAACCTACCCTCGGTTTAGAGTAAGTACTCGGGATAGCTGCAGTGAAGAAAGTTTAATTCCAGGGGTCTGTTATATTTCTCTTAATTTCAAGCAAAGTAGTTCTCTGAGTGTAGTGTTATTTTCCTTTCAAAATAAACGGTCTTATCAGTGTAGGTCACAAAAAGATAAGCGGACCTCTTTTTTACTGATCGGAATTTTATCAACTTTGTCGGCGTTAAGAATGAATACAAACGGGAATTATATTTACTAGGTTTATTTTATATTAACAAGGCCTATTGAAACAAACAAACAAAAGTAAAATAGATTCTAATTATAATTAATAAATAACTAACTAAAATTCAGGAATGTAAAAATACTTTACAAGCGGTGTAAGAATAACAAAAATGAAATAAAATGGGTTAGAGCAATTATTATTTGTACGACGGATTTAAAATGCCTTTGCGGTTTTTCGGTGCTGAAAATAAATACAAATTAGCACATAGTCAAATATCAGGACTCAAAATCGGTACGGTAGAAAACGGAGTCTTTGGAGTTTGGTTTATTTAATAAACGGTCTAAGACTCTACGAAACGGTACGCCAGAATAATATTCGGTTTTAAATTTCGGTCGGTGCTAGAAAGGGAAAAATAAGATTAATAAATTAGAGCAATAAATAAATTGTTCCCAATGGTTCTGAAACAGAAAAATAATTACGGGTGACTCTAATTCTACAAATAAATATCGGCGGCAGTTTCTAGCAAAGCGACGGAAATTAAGCGGAAATGCGACCAGCCAGGAGAAAAAGCCAAGCAAAGCGGTTTAGAACGGACGTAAATAAGCAAACGGTAGTCAGGAAAATGATTTATGTTGGTGAACAGGAGGCAAAGTCTGGACGAGGTGCGAGTTCAAATGCGGGGCGGCCGACAGATTTCTTCCCGAAGCGGTGGAGCACCCAGCCAAACTTCGAGGGTCTATCCGTCGCTGCACAGCCGACACACAACGTCTTCTACTGGCGGTGGAGCACCCAGCCGAACCAGCAGTTTCGGTTATTGTGCCTTACAACGTTTATCAAGCTTAGGCGGTGGAGCACCCAGCCAAACCTTCGCTGACAACGCTGCTGCTGTACAGTCTGACACCTTCACGTCCTCTACTGGCGGTGGAGCACCCAGCCGAACCAGCAGTTTCAGTAAAGGGGCGCACAGCGTTTGTCGAACGACGGCGGTGGAGCACCCAGCCAAACCGTCGCCGATAACGCTGCTGCCGTACGAGCCTGCACTCAACGTCTTCCGCTGGCGGTGGAGCACCCAGCCAAACCAGCAGTTCGGTCGATGTGACGGACAACGTTCGTTGAACGAGGGCGGTGGAGCACCCAGCCAAACCCTCGCCGACAACGCTGTGGTCGTACTGTCTTGCCAGAGTTCAAAAACGGCCAGACTTATACCATAGCAGGACAAGTAAATATAGGAAAATACAATTTGCTTACTTATTCCGGACGGTTGCTTCTGGCGGCTAACTCCTTGGGTCGGATGGCGGTCTCAGGTCGGTCTTCAGGTTCTCGGGGTGGTCCTCGGGTTGGAACTGGAGCTCTTCGAGTTCTGGCAGCGAACTCCTTGGATCGGGTGGCGGTCTCTGGTCGGTGTTCAGGTCCTCGGGGTGGTCCTCAGGTTGGCGTTGGAGTTCTTCGAGTTCTGGCAGCGAACTGAGGATCTTCGTGCAGGAACGGTGGTTTTATTGTCCCAATCCCCCCTTGACTAGGCAGGAGTCGTGGTGGGACTATGCGCGCGGCCCTCGACAGAGTGGGGCAGCGGACGGTTTCGGCTCGACTCGCGGTTAATTGCTCTCACCCAATTAAACTAATTAAATAAATAACTGGCCAGCGGCCTTACAAAAATCGGAAAATAATAATGCTTCATTACAGCACTTCACTGATTTTCAGAGCCAAAACATAACCTCTAATTATTTATTTGTGGCATTTTTTTTGCTCTTTCCATTTTATTGGGCGATATTGAAGAACTCTGTTTTTGTTTTCGAAACTTTCCTTCTTAAACTGACTTAAAAGTCAAATGTGACGAATTTCTTTTTCCTTTACAGGAAATGTTCAAATACGACACCCTCTTAGACCTCAAGAAGCTCCACTGCAACGACATCCACAAGATGGCCCAGACTTACGGAATCGAAGCGGCTTCCAAGATTATCGTCAAGGTAAGAGAATACTTTGGAAATAATTACATTTCCGTTGCTTTGTTTGAAAGCTCTGACACCGATAATTTTGTTAATTTTATAGGAAGTAAAAGATGTATTCAACGTTTACGGAATTAAAGTCGATCCGAGACATCTGTCGCTCGTCGCCGACTACATGACTTTTAATGGGACTTTCGAGCCGCTGAGCAGGAAAGGGATGGAGAGCAGTGTTTCGCCCTTGCAGCAGATATCGTTCGAGTCTTCGCTCGGCTTCCTCAAGACCGCCACTATAAGAGGTAAGCCCAAAAAAGTGCAGAGAGTAACTGCTTTTCTTCGTATCAAATTCACATTTTTGTGTTCAGGATAAGTTTCTGTCGCAAAGTATTGAAAAATAATTTATTTTATTTTTTTCTGTGTTTAAATTTCTGTTTCATAGTATTTTTTTCTTGTTTTTCTTTGTTTCAAATTTATATCTTAATGTTCATAACTTTTTGTCGTGTACTATCAAAACCTAAAATTTTTGTGATATCTTTTTAATGATTCGTGTTTAAATTGTTTCTTGGTATTTTTTTCTGTTTTTCTTTGTATCAAATTTATATGTTTACGTTCATGATAAGTTTTCGTCGATAACTAAAATTTTCTTGATTTTTTTTTAATGACTCGTGTTTAAATTTCTGTTTAAATTGTTTCATGGTATTTATTTGTTTTTATTCATATCAAATTTATATGTTTATGTTCATTATAAGTTCTGGTCGCAAACTAACAAAAACTAAAATTTTTTTATTTTTTTTTAATGACGTTTAAATCGTTTAATGGTATTTTTTTGTTTTTTTTTTCATACAAATTCTCATTTTTATGTTCATAATTTTCTGTCGCAGTCGAAAACTAAAATTTCTGTGATTTTTTTTTAGTGACGTATTTAAATTTCTGTTTAAATTGTTTTGTGGTATTTTTTTTTGTTTTTCTACATATCAAATTTATAGTTTTACTTTTTTATAAGTTTTTGTCACAAACTATTGAAAATTAAGGTTTTTGTGATATTTTTTAATGACTCATGTTTAAATTTCTGTTTTAATTGTTTCGTGGTATTTCTTGTTTTTCTTCCTATTAAATCTATATTTTTATGTTTATGATCAGTATTTGTCACAAACTATCAAAAACACAATTTTTTAAATGTTTTTATTAATGACTCGTGTTTAAAGTTGTTTTTAAATTGTTTCATAATTTTTTTGTTGTTTTTGTACCAAATTTATATGTTTACGTTCATGATAAATTTTTGTCGATAACTAAAATTTTCTTGATTTTTTTTAATGACTCGTGTTTAAATTTTTCTTTAAATTGTCTCATGGTTATTTTTTTCTGTTTTTCTTCGTGTCAAATTTATATTTTTATATTTATGATAAGTTTTTGTCGCAAAGTATCGAAAAACTAAAATTTTTGTGATATTATTTTAATGATTCGTCTTTAAATTTTTATTTAAATTGTTTTTGGTATTTTTTCTGATTTTCTTCATATCAAATTTACATTTTTATGTTCGCAAGTTTTTGTCACAAATTATTAAAAATTAAAATTTTTGTAATGTTTTTTAATGACTTGTGTTTAAAGTTGCTTTTAAATTGTTTCATAATTTTTTTCTGTTTTTCTTCATATCAAATTTATATTTTTATGTTCATGATAAGTTTTTGTCGCAAATTTGTGATTTTTTTATAACGTCTCTTGTTTAAATTTCTGTTTTTTCGTTTTTCTTTGTATCAAATGTACATTTTTTTGTTCATGGTAAGTTTTTGTCGCAAAATATCAAGAACTAAAAGTTTTGTGATTTTTTTTAATGATTCATGTTTAAAGATCTGTTTAAATTGTTTCATGGTATTTTTTTCTGTTTTTCTTATCAAATCTATATTTTTATGTTCATAAGTTTTCGTCACAAACTATCAAAAATTAAAATTTTTTACTTTTTTTAAATGACATGATTAAATTATTTCATATTTTTTTTGTTTTTCTTCATATCAAATTATATTTTTATGTTCATAAGTTTTTGTCACAAATTAACAAAAACTAAAATTTTTTACTTATTTTAAATGACTCGTGATTAAATTATTTCATGGTATTTTTTTTTGTTTTTCTTCGTATCAAATTTATATTTTTACGTTCATAAGTTTTTCTTGCAAACTATCAAAATCTAAAATTTTAATATTTGTGATATTTTTAATGACGCGTGTTTAAATTTCCGTTTAAATTGTTTCATGGTATTTTTTTTTTAGGGAAACAAGATAATCTACAGAATCCCTCGAGTGCGTTGATGATCGGAAAGCCTTGCGGGACAGGCACAGGGTGCTTCACTCTATTCAGCAGGCACACTGCCACTAATTGAAGTGCAGTTGTTTATGTTATGTTTTTAAGTTTATAAAAAATGTTTCATAGTCTTTGTTTATTAAAAAAAAATATCAACACAAAATTCCACCGCCAAAATTCCGCAGATGGTCTTAAAAAAAAATCAATAAAATCATGAATGTGAAGTCCATAAAGACTTTGCTCTTCAAAATGCACTTTTTTTAACAAACGAACTAGAAATCTCTGACCTGCCCTTGTTATTCTCGGGCTAAGCTCTGTGGGGGCAGACCTGCTTTCAGAACCCCTAAACAAAAGAAAATTATATATTTTGAAAATTTCCAAAATCTGAGAAAACGAAAATCAGAATACAAATTTCAAAGTTCTTATTAAAAATTTATTACTCATTACCAACAATCGATAACATATCGTGACCATCACGTCTTCTTCGACGACTTTTCCTTCGCTAAGTTCATACTTTCCTCGAAGTACTGGTTCGGGTGGTTGATTGTCATAGAAGGGGGCTGGTTGTGGGTATACTCGAAATATTTGCCGCAAGCGATTTGGTAGTGACCGGCTTTTGCCAGATCCAAGACGGAATCTATCCCTAAAACAAAAATGCGATACCTCAATCAAGGTGCGTTTGCAAAAGGTGAGTTCAAGTTAATAACGTAACCTCAAATAAAGGAACTGATGACATAACCTCGGATAAGGGATTTTCTACAAATTAAGCTCTTGGAAATGGTTGGAGGAATTGAAATGGAATTTTTTTTCCATATTGTTTTCCATACTAATCTTTTAAAAAAATACATCCCTTTTAGTTAAGTTAAAAAATGTATTTCGAGATTTTTTTTTGTGTCTGGGACTACTTTAGAAGCTTGTATAATTTCACTTAAGACTCGAATACCACTCGATTGATTGATATAAAATTTATAGGTTATGGTCGACACATTACTGGAAAGGTTTAGAAAGTAGTTTGAACAATTTTCAATAGGTCAATTACACGATTTCAATCAATTGTCAATATGGCATGGTAATCATGCACAGTGCAAGAAAATAGCCACTGCAAGGTGTTTTAAAAGGATGTTCGCTACCGCGCTAATTGGTGACGTCATTTAGTGCGTTCGAAAATCGAGAAAGGGAATGATAGGGACTGGACTACGCCCCAACATGGGCATAATAAGTAACGAGAGTCTAGAGACAACCAAATTGATTTTGCTTCAAGCAGTATATGATGGTTGCGTTTTCGGTCGCACTAAATGACGTCACACTGCGTCTTTGAAGTGGTAAAATTAAAATTTGTACATTTTCGTCATTTATAATAAAGGAGGAGGGCCCCTAAGGCTGGTTTCTGCCTAATTTAGTTTTGGCTAAAAAAATCTCAAACATTTTTTTTTAGTACCTAGCAATACCAAATCGTTTCCGCCCTAAACGGACCAACCCCCTCACCCTCATTTCCCCTTCCACCCCCTTAAATGCCGGAGAAACCATCGCTTATTAGAATTCTTGTGAATCTTACATATGAAGAGTTTTTTGGGTCGCTGATTACGAATCTGGTCTCAGAATCACGAAATTCAAAATGGCGGATCCAACATGGCGGACAAGAAAATTAAAATGTCTTCAAAATGCATGAATTCTTTTGTAATGGTTTTTTTTTGGGTCTATGATTACGAATCTGGACTCTAAATCAAGAAATTCAAAATGGCGGATTCAATATCGCGAACAAAAAAATTTAAATGTAAAATGCATGAATTTTTGTGTAGTGGGTTTTTTTGGGTCTCTGATTACGAATCTGAAGGCAGAATTACGAAATTCAAAATGACGTATTCCATATGGCGGACAAGAAAATTAAAAAGATCTCCATAACCCTCAAATATTTGTTTAAAGAAACTTTCTTGGATCACTGATTACAATTATGAATTCAGAATCACAAAATTCAATTCAAAATTTTGTAATGGGTTTTTTTGGGTCTTTGATCTGGACTCTAAATCACGAAATTCAAAACGGCAGATTCAATATGGCGGATAAAAAATTAAAATGTCTAAAATGCATGAATTTTTCTGTAGTGGGGTTTTTTGGGTCTCTGATTATGAATCTGAAGGCAGAATTACGAATTTCAAAATGGCGGACAAGAAAAAAAAATCTTCATAATCCTCAAATATTTGTTTACAGAAACTTTCTTGGATCACTGATTAGAATCATGAAATTTAAAGTGGCGGATCCAATATGGCGGACAACAAAATTGTAGTCTTCAAAGTGCATGAATTTTTTTGTAATGGGGTTTTTTGGGTCTATGATTATGAATCTGGACTCTAAATCACGAAATTCAAAATGGCGGGTTCAATATGGCGGACAAAAAATTAAAATGTATGAATTTTTTTGTAATGGGGTTTTTTGGGTTTTTGATTACGAATCTGGACTCTAAATCACGAAATTCAAAACGGCGGATTCAATATGGCAGATAAAAAATTAAAATGTCTAAAATGCATGAATTTTTGTGTAGTGGGGTTTTTTGGGTCTCTGATTATGAATCTGAAGGCAGAATTACGAAATTCAAAATGGCGGACAAGAAAATTAAAACGATCTCCATAATCCTCAAATATTTGTTTATAGAAACTTTCTTGGATCACTGATTACAATTATGAATTCAGAATCACGAAATTCAAAAGTGGCGGATCCAATATGGTGGACAAGAAAATTGAAATGTCTTCAAAATGCATGAATTTTTTTGTAATGGATTTTTTTGGGTCTATGATTACGAATTTGGACTCTAAATCACGAAATTCAAATCGGCGGATTCAATATGGCGGATAAAAAAATTAAAATGTCTAAAATGCATGAATTTTTGTGTAGTGGGGTTTTTTGGGTCTCTGATTATGAATCTGAAGGCAGAATCACGAAGTTCAAAAGTGGCGGATCCAATATGGCGGACAAGAAAATTGAAATGTCTTTAAAATGCATAATGCATCTTTTTTGTAATGGGGTTTTTTGGGTCTGATTACGAATCTGGATTCAAATCACGAAATTCAAAATGGCGGATTCAATATGGCGGACAAAAAATTAAAATGTCTTTAAAATGCATGAATTTTTGTGTAGTGGGGTTTTTTGGGTTTCTTATTACGAATCTGAAGAAAGAATTACGAAATTCAAAATGACGTATTCCATATGGCGGACAAAAAAATTAAAAAGATCATAATTCTCAAATATTTGTTTACAGAAACTTTCATGGATCACTGATTACAATTATAAATTCAGAATCACGGAATTCAAAGTGGCTAAACAAATATGCACAAACATGTATTGATTTTTTCTTTTTCGTTTTGTTCGATGTAAATGTGTCATCTCATTTAAGGGGGTTTAGAGGGAAAGGAGGGTGAGGGGGTTGGACCGGTTAGGGTGGAAACGATTCATTATTGCTAGTAGGTACTAAAAAAATTTTTTTAACATTTTTTCAGCCAAATATAAATTAGGCCAAAAACTGGCCTTAGGGACCCTCCTCCTTTGTAATATTAAATAAATTTTTTTACCACTGTTAGTTGTCAGTTGCAGCCCACAAATTCCTGCAGTTCTAAAAAAAATTAAACTTCCATGCAGGTTGCCTAACATGTCTCTTACTATTAAAAAATTATTCAAATATAGATACCATTTGATTAGATGAAAATTAAAGTAGATATCAAAACTTTGAACAAGAATGTTGGAATTTAAAACCAAATTTCTGTCAATTTCTTACAAATAAAGAAAATTTGAAATACAGGGACACCAGTATAACTGATGAGTTGAACTGTATTTTTTTTTTAAAACAAAAATCTTAATGCTCACCTTCCGAACTAACCCCATATTCACCCATCTTCTGCTTCAAAATGGGCAGGTCCCAGTGCCTGAACGGACAACCGTGGTGCTCTCCTGGTCCCACATTGTTCATTATAATTTTGGTACAACTATACGGAGAAAAGTCGACTTGTTTACCGGCTTTGCCGTAATTGTAACGGATGTTGTACGTGTACTGCTTATCGAACTTGTCGCCGTCCATGATTTTCGTGAACTCCTCTCTCCAGAATTCCATGGCATCCTCGTAGAGCAGCCCTGTATCGATTTGGAGGCATGGCGAGTTAATTTCATATACAGGGTGTTTTTATTAGGAATCAGATAGTTTAATGGGCCATTCCTGAGGTCGAAATAGGACGATTGAGTCAAATATGTTACGTAAAGTTGCTGCTTTTCAATCTACGGATTATCAACAATTGATAATTTACAGACTCCCTATTTTGACCTTGGAAATTAAAACATCCCGTAGAAACTTTTCCGTGCAAGTTGGATTAGGAACGGAGGGAAGTAAACAAGACTGTACAAACCTATGCCTTTTAAAAACAGACCGTACTGCAGTCTACTGAAATGTTTCAAGTGATGTGTGGATCGTAGTACCTCGTGGTTGTTTCTCATACACAACGGAAAGTGTTTCTTCGAGTAAGCGTCCAAATGGGCAGGATCTAAGCGATCCTTGTCCCCTTTGGCTACATACTCCTTGCCGGTGTAGGTGTTGTGTAAATCATTGAGCAGGGAATTTACTCTGTCATCGTCGATTGACGGCAAACGGTGATTGTAAATCTAATACAAAATAAAATCGTTTGGTGCCTACAGTGACGTTATATAATAATTACAAGCGAAATTGAAGTATTTTTGATTATTGCTTAGTATAAATACAATGCGTTCCAAAAGCATGGTCGATTTTTGAAAGTTCTTCATTAAAGTACAGAGAGTGTGTAGCAGAGACTGTGCTCAAATATTTAACGCTCTATTTTTATGAGAAATCTAAGACTAAATCTACTTACATTCAAGGACTCGCTGAGCTGAGCCCTGAACTTAGACAGCACACACACAACCAAATCGGCTGTAGGAATGAAAGCATATCCCTTCTGTATAAACACTTTTCTGCCTTTTACTAGAGGCACAACTTCTCCAAACGGCACTTTGTAGAAGTCAGTTCCTTCGAACGATACTTCAGTTATGCCTAAAATTAAAAAAAAAAACAAATCGTAGTACACATCAGTCTTTTTCAACAAGAAAAGGATGGTTTTTACGAGGCACTGATCCAAAACTCGGAAAATATATCTAAAAAATTCATATTCGGTGGCATTAGACACAAGCCACTAAACAACAAACTGATGTACTGAAAAGATATTTTATATCTGGCCTGAAGGACCAAAATAAAATAAAGAATGACTTCAATACCTGAGGTGGAAACGACGAGTTCACATTTCAACTCGTCCTTCAGTTCATTGGAGATGGGAGCGTAAGTCAGGTTGTTCTGTTGTAAAAACTTCATTATTCCCTCCTGACTCTGCGATATAAACCTCAATTTGAACCATTCCATTTCCCTGTTAATAAACCACCTACGTAGGTCTTCAGATCGGCAGTAGGCCAGTCGAAGAATGAAGTGCGAGTAATGGTCAGCTCGACGGGCCTGAATGTCTTGCTCCGTTTGGCTTTAAAATAGTTTATTTTATTTAAAAAACGTACAGAATATAATCTCTACACACACTTACGTGCAATATCCGTTTATCAGTCGTATATACTTTTTTAATCCACTTTTCGCCAAGTCCTCCTTGATAGTCTTTTTCCAGTCCTCGGAATACTGTTTGAAACCTTTTAGCGAGGCCTGTTCGATTATCCTGAGTAGCTGTAATCTTTCTAAAGCCAGTTCCTCGAATTCTTCTAGATTTATCACGGTTTGAGGTCTCTCACTGTACATGTTCACGTCGTGGTTATAAAGATCGTTTTCGGGGTGTGCTATGGTCTTTTGGATTTTTCTTCTACGTGCAGTCGTGTCCATTGTGGTTTGTTTTTGGTGAAATAATTCAAAATTTTAACGTTTGCTTTTAATAAAAATATATTTCAGGTCACAGTTTGTGTGCATCAAACTGACGTAGTAAATCGCGCCAAAATTATTTTTGCAGGTTAAGATAATCAGTTGAGAAGAGGAAGAATAGTATTATTTTGCTCTACACGAAATTAAAACTATTTGTGTTTATTGATATAATTAAACTAAAAATTTAAAATTTTTAGAAATCAAACGAACTATTTATACGAGATTTATATTGCTACTAAAGAAAAAATAAGCCCGCAAAATTTTTAATTTTCGTAAATAAATTCATTTAATACATTCACAATTTTTTGCAAGGCTATCGTTGTTATGCAACCTAGTATACACCGAGGTATATGAAGGGTTGCAGGATGTAATTGAACGATATAAATATTTTAATATTTAAATTCTAATAACATTTAAATAAATAGGTACTTTTCAAAAACCTTTGTCCTAATCTTACAATTAAATTAATATTTGTATGAGTTACTACAACTTAGGTGTTGTAAAATATTTTTCTATGGTAAAAACATTATTACCTGTTAATTGAAATTTAATTTAGACGAAGAGCAAAAAAATTTCTGTAGCTTGTTAAGGATTTTGAAAAACAGAATTTTAAAGTCTGTGTGAGAATTTTTCATTATAGAGACAAACAATATATTTGAAAGTAGATGAAAGGAACGAAATTTAACAAGTTCAGAACTGCTGATATATACCTATTTCAGATCATTTACTTCGTACTTTAGGCAATAACAAACTTTTTTAAGAATGTATAAACTGTGATGACTGGTGATATTAACAAAGCAAATCAATTAAAATCGACAATTTAATTCAATCTGTGATATTTAAAGTGTTTCTTGTTATTAACTTTTTAGTTGAGGTAAGTTATCTTATATAATTTTCTCAAGTGTAACCTTTTCGCCTATGAAGTGTTTCATTTTAATCAAGGTATTTTTTGGTTAAATTGTTGTTAAATTAATAATAATTTTCTGCTGGACTTCGAATTGACTCATATATTTCATAATTTCACAATCTGAAGTAGATAAACATAACCTCTACACCTATTTATATTCAATAACTTTACCACTGATATGAGATTTATCATGTCCCTATTCCTTTATCGTGCATGTATATTTTCACGTGTTTTGTGATACCAGAATGTTTCTATTTTAATTTTTTAAGGCGTGTAGTTAAGTTTCAGCTATGATTTTTATTGACTAGGTAGTAATTTATTTAAAAAAAATAATTTAATTGCATTTTAAGGATGTTTTTAGCTGCAGAAGTGTTATAACAATGTAATTAGTAAAATACATTACATATTTAAAATAAATAAATTTAAATTTATGTAGTTTTTTAGCAATAAAATATCTTTTTCAAGGAAATATATATATACAATACCCTTTTCAATATTACTTGTGTTAACCGTTATTTATTGCAAAATGTAACAATATTTTCTTTAACATTGATGAATTTAATCATATTTTAGAATCAATCCATTCCATTCTACATCAGTAGTATCTACTTACCTTGTACAGATTAAGCAAGTCTGCAGTACCAAACATGCTAAACGGAAAACTAAAGTAAAATAATTCTGTTGACAATGCATTTTTTCTAATTTTGCAGGTTTGTTGTTGAATTTTATGCCGTTTTCTATTGGTTATAATAACAGAGGTGAATATCTGCATATTAAATGGTAGAAATATTTTAATTATAGTTTAATTATAAACGTGCAGAAAACATTTTATTGGAGGACTAACAGAAACGGAGAAAACGTGGTTATAAATAAATTAAATGATTTTAGCGATTTTAGTAAAGCTCTTTTTAAAACATTAGGGAATTATCAATGTAGATATTTATTTTGTTAATTTCTAAAAATACTAGTTAAGTTATTTTAATCTATTACAATAATGCTTTGGTTATTTTGTACGATGTAAGTAAATATATGAGCCAGAGTAAATACTTGCTTTTCCATATTATAATCACAATACTTGTTATCATATGTAAAATTTTTACAATCTCTCATTCCAAAATTATGAATAATGTTGAAAGATAACACTTGCAAATATGTCTGTTAAATCCACCTACCTCTATCGTGTTACATATTACCATTGTATAAGTAAATATATACAATGATATTACGTGTCTTGTGGAAGCACGATCCTTCTGTGGTCTATCGGTTAGTATTAAGGAAACTGTAATAAAAATTATTATCTAATATTAAAGTAGCGTGTAAGTTCAGGTATGATTTGTTTCAATTTAGCACACTTAATTGTTTATTATCTATGTAGATGTAGAATAATACAATTTTTTTAATAATTTTACATAATAATAACATGTTTATTTTAATATTTATATGCCTTCATCAGTTACCAGCAAATTTATTAAACTAGTTAAAAGGAAACGAACGGATTTAACTTTAATAGCGAGACATATTTACTTTGTGTGTTGTTTTCATGCGCACATACTAAAATAAAGTTTGCGCAAGTCCATTGCAAAAAGCAATGCATTAAATGATAAAACTCTTCTCATTTTTTTTCCATCCACCATATTGCATCCGCCATTTTGAATTTTGTAATTCTGACTTCAAATTCAGAAAAGATATTCGTACTATTCAAAACGGATCTTGAAAGAAAAAGAAGTAGTTTCAGACGCCATAACAAGTTTTGTGGAGGAAAATTAGTTCCTGATGTAACCTAACCTCAAATATGATGAAAAATTGTATTTTTCGCACGTTCAGTTTAATATACCTCGAAAACCTGAGGCGATGGAGCAATTCTAGGGTCGAATTCGAAGCGTCAGAAATTTTTCGAGATTGTTTTAGGTTTTTGGTTTAAAATTTTTGGTGTTTTTTTTTTTTTGTACAAGCTCTCTTAAATACTGCGTTTTAAACGATGTACTTACTAAGGCAAACACCTTGTATGGTCTATTGAAGTGAAGTTTTGTATTGCAAACAAAATACGTATATTTAAATTACTTAATTTTTTTAATGCCTGATGTATGATTTTTAAATGGCAAAGATGTTTTGATCGCAGTAAGTCATGGAATTATGTGAAGTAGATCTTATGAAGTACATCTTTTCGAAAAAAAATTGAATATCGACCCATGTGTATTAAAAAAAAACAACGGTGGTGCTGCATAAAACAGACCACACTGTAGATTAGATGTCTGAATCTGAAACTTTGGCTAAGAATTTTCGTCTTCTCAAATTTAATTAGAATCGAACAAATTTTTCTGCATTATTTAATTTGACATTATGTAATCTTTCAATTCTTTTGTCATCAACAAGCCTTCAACTACTACATCTATAAACATCATACGATTTTTCTCAAATTCACTAAATGTTACTCTAATTTTTAGGCAGGTAAGATTTTCTACTCTTTTGTGGTTTTTCTTTACTTTACTTTCTTTAGGCTTGTAGATAGTATGTGGTTGGATTCAAGACTGAAAAATAAACAATGAGGTTTTTCTATCTAAAAATGAAGTCATCGGTAGTAACTATATGCATATATTTTGCGTATTTGACAAAGGTAGATAAAAGGAAATGTAAATAAAATTGCTTCTAGTAAATACCGATGCTGATACATTATAAATCACTAGCTAATCAGTCTGTCTGGCGAATGCTGTTGAATTTTGTGAACCGGTGGTATAGTGTAGCAGCAGAGCTTCGAGGTAGATGGATTTGATTCAGGTTGGTGAATTTGCGCGAAAACAGAATAAGAAACGAATTTGTTGCCTTTTAAGAAAAATAATATATTCTACTATCAGCTGTTAGCTGTTGTATTTCTTAAATTATTTTAAAGGTGGTAAGCTAGTTCAAAGAGATTCATAACTTTTTTCTAAAAAAACATCAAATTAAATCAACCAATGTTCCTCGATACCAGAAATATAGGTATGCAAAAAAACATTTGACTCCACAGACAAGACTTAGGGCGTCATACGGGAATTTTGGGAAAATTTCGGAACATCGGCGAAATTTTGTTTCGCTCCGGACCTTCCGATGTCTGTCGTAAGACGTCTGCAGGTTTTCAGGTATCTTTCAGGTTTATTGAAATTTTGAAAACATGGGTGAAAATTCGAAATTCGCTCTTGATATACTGTATTAAAAAAAAGGTTTATTCTTCCTCTTCCACTGCTCGTTTGCCGCTTTTGCTTATCTGTTGAGAAATATTGACTTTCGTAATAAATTTTTCAAAACATTTACAAAATGTTCACCTTCGACACAGAGTTAACAATTTAGGCAATAAAAAAATACGATTCTCCTCGCAATAAAACAATTTGATATGAAAAACATCATTGTTTCACGTTTGATAATTATATCCAAATCCAGATTTATCGGTTGAACAAACTAGTTCTGGGTTGAATTGCCATCAATTTTGTTGGTATAACGCCGTATTGTGTGTACATTTGGAGCAATACATCTCAGACATTGGGAAATAAAAGGCGATAAAGCTAATACTGTTATTTCGTCGGGTATTAGCAATGATTTTTATGTNGTTTGAAAAACGAATAGTGGTCCATATCTCCGCAACCGTTACTTTGCGGACCCATGTTTATTAAGACTTTTCTGCTTATTTTGGTTCATACTATTACCTCCTGAAATATTTTACACTCTTTTTTTAACACCCTGTATATTCTATCAGCTGTTGTAACGCTTATTCTATTTTAAAGGTGGTAAGCTAATTCAAAGAAATTCAAAACTTTTTTTTATAAGAAAACATCAAATGAAACCAACCAATGTTCTTCGATACCAGAAATATCGGTGTGCAAAAATCATCTGACTCCACAGACAAGACTTGGGGCGTCATACGGGAATTTTGGGAAAATTTCGGAACATCGGTGAAATTTTGTTTCGCTCTGGGCCTTCCGATGTCTGTCGTAAGTCGTCTGCAGGTTTCAGGTATCTTTCTTGTCCAAGATCTCGTAGTTTTGGTGGGATTTGTACTCCGCGAATGGCTTTTTGAAGGTTTATTGAATTATTTTGAAAACATTTGTGAAAATTCGAAATTCGCTCGTGATTGAAAAAAATGTTTATTCTTCCTCTTCCACTGCTCGTTTACCGCTTTTGCTTATCTGTTGAGAAATATTGACTTTCGTAATAAATTTTTCAAAACATTTACAAAATGTTCACCTTCGACACAGAGTTAACAATTTAGGCAATAAAAAAATACGATTCTCTCCTCACAATAAAACAATTTGATATGAAAAACATCATTGTTTCACGTTTGATAATTATATCCAAATCCAGACTTATCGGTTGAACAAACTAGTTCTGGGTTGAATTGCCATCAATTTTGTTGGTATAACGCCGTATTGTGTGTACATTTGGAGCAATATATCTCAGACGTTGGGAAATAAAAGGCGATAAAGCTAATACTGTTATTTCGTCGGGTATTAGCAATGATTTTTATGTCCATAACAATAAAGGTCGTCGTTAATAATAACCAGTTTATATATAATTATATAGTCACGAGTATTATACATTTTTTTTTTACAATTAGTGCCAGCGTGTTTGGAAAATATACCTCTCAGGATTCTGGTAAGTGAAGAGCTCTTATGACATTAATAACTGTCCAAAATTTGACATATTAGAGCGTATTTATACAGACTCTTTGAGGAAAACGTACAATAAGTTTGGATTAAAAAAGAAATAGATAATTAGTCTATACCATTGTGCTTTTGTGGAGCAAAAGAGTCATGGCCAACGCCAACTTAGAAAAATAGAGACGTCTACAAATTTTTAACAATGTTTTGATTTGTAAAAATTTGGATTTATTGGAAATCTATCATTAACAATAAATTAGCTTCGTGTATTGTATTTTAATGTATACATATATTGCAAATAGAAACTTTGAAGCGTACTGGCGTCCGTCTCTGGTTAATGGGATGTGAGGTACCACAGTTGACGTTCGAACACGTATTATGATGGCTTCACAGGGGTTCTGCAGCGATTCTCGCCTTAGATTTGGACAATTGACCTCTCCGAATTTTGTTGTGTTGAATTACTAAGGTTAATCAGCATATCCATCGAATATAATTTAAACAACTTTTTTGAAAATAGAACTGATTCAAAAAATAAAAAAGAGTCGTGTTTTTCACAATTCTAAATAATTACCTGATACTTATATATTAACTACTATTGAGGTTTATCGCAAAAGTTGGCATACCAAATTCTCAATTACCTAAAAACTGTACTTGACGCCTAGAATGCGCTCCAGCAAGATGTATCTCGTTTATCAAGTGTTCCCTATGGCGTAATTTAATTGAATTTAATTGTATCAGATTATATATGCCAAAGTGTAAAGATGTATCAATGATTTAATTTTAAGTACAAATTCCTTTAACAGCGAGATCATTTTGTTCATTCAAATTAAATGTGAAAATGTCGCTCCTGAACTCTTGTTAAGACAGAATTTATTTAAAAACAGGAATTAATGCTTTTTATGTCACGATATTTTGGAAATTTTAAAAAGTCTTGAGATCTATACATTTTTTTTTAAGCTGATTTTTTGAGGGGCTCGTAAAACATAAATAAAATAAACTAAAATATTTTGACAAGAGACACGAAAAAAAATATTCGGTTTTTTTGGGCCACCCTAAATTATTTAGGAATAAATCTATTTTTAATAATTCAAAACATTGTTAAAAATTCATGTTCCCCGATATGGTTTCATAAGTTTAAGAAATGTACCTAACAAAGGTCAAAATAAGGTAAATCCGTGACGTGGCGCCCAACGTGGGGCTCAAATGTCCGAGTAACGAAACACCACCCTCACTGAAAGCGACATTACCAAAAGAGAGCCACCTGCTAACATTTCTTATGACATAAATAATTGTCCAAAATTTGTCATATTAGAGCGTATTTATACAGACTCTTTGAGGAAAACGTACCATAAGTTTGGAATAAGAAAAAAAATTGAAAATTGGTCTATATGAGTGTGCTTTTCTTCATAGCCAGCCATCTACAGCAAATGAGCTAAATTTTGATTAGCAGTGCATTTGGGATTAGTAATGACCAACGCCGACCTTTTTATAATTTAGAAAAATAGAAACGATTGCAAAATTTTTCGAAAGAGACTTGAAATTTGACACGTGGCGCCCAACGCGGGGCAACGAAACACCAATATAATTGAAAGACGACATTACCAAAAGAGCTTAAACACATAGTTCCCCTCCAAGAGAACAATAGATGGCTCTGGCAGTCGCATTTTTACGGTGACAATAATTTAAAGAGAACAACAACTCCTTATTTATTTTCTCTAAGTTCCCAGAAGTTCCGAATTTGGCCCGCTCGGTACATAACACACGTCTACAGCATTTCAATCACACAACCTTGCAACGTGACACGGTAATTCCCATACATGTATGTATATACTCTCCATTTCAATTCTCGGACATAATTACCTGGTAAATACAGCAGGGGTTCCAAGTATCTTACCGTAAATCCAACCTTGGCGTTAAGGAAAACAGTACGGTGGCACGGAGCCTTGGCCTTACTGGTGTCAGTACCAGCACATATTTAGCCACGAAATCACATTTCGGTTGAGCTAGCGAAGCGTCAGTTCGTTGCGAAAAAACCGCGTGCTGATAACTTGTGACAGCTGGCGATGAGATAACTGTACAGGGTGAGTGATGAAATATTTCGCAATGTATAACAAGAAACAATGTAGAATATGTAACGTAAAACATGTAATCGTTTTTTTTTTATGGACAATAGAGTAAAACTAAACATAATCTTTACCTTATTTTTCGAATTTCAAATGTCTTCTTTTAGTTTTAATTCTTCTTTTATAGTCCAGTACGCAGATGTTCAGAAATAGTAATTTTCCATAAACCCCATTTTTTTACAAATTGGATATAAATATGCTACAGAAAGAATGTTATTAACAATTTTCGTCGAAAAATTGCTTTTTCAAAATGCTAGATATCATTTTTATTTTAAATTAAATTTGCTACGAGACAGCCTAGCTGCAATTTTTATTTTTACAATTAATGCAAATAATTTTGCAATTAACAAAAATTTAAAAAAATATTTGTTTTATGAAACTTTCGAGGAGTAATCCTCAATTCATGTATAATACTCTCGAAACCCGCTGTTGGACATATGAGTTGTTGCTGAGTTATTGACAATAGACTCTCTTAGTGTGACGTCACATATTTAGGCAACCCGCCGACAACGGGAGGTAACTTACCTCCTTAGGGAAAAAAGCGATTTCGAGTTATAAATGCATATTTTATGAACAAATAAATAGAAATAGTTGATGAAGATTTAGTAACATTTATAAAATCTGGATAATTATTCCCTTGCATTTGTTAATTGTCACATTTTTCTCAAAATGATTTGACCGCTCTATTTCAGTCACCGGAGGCTCAATATTATCTGTCTGATCCATTAGAACAGCATGATGCGACGTACTACTACAACCTGGAGTTGAAGTGTCATTGTAAAGAATCCTGTTGGTTATTTCATTTTTGTTACTTAAACTGTCAGCAACATAACTTTCTGCAATTGTGGCTGATTCCACCCACCATGTCTCTTTATTGCTAATACATCAACTCTCAGTAACGTTGCCGATGTTCTTCGGAATAAATGGCCTGCATATGTTTCCGGATGTTCTAGTTTCAAAAACTGTGCAATCTTATTAGGAATCAGAAAGGGTATTCTTGCCAATTGGTTGGTTGTATCATCTACCTGCTTGATAGCGCAAATTCGTCCTCGACTGGTAAATAATACTTACCTCCTTTATGGTGTAAGTAACTATTTTATACTGGAAATTATGTAAAAAACTGTCACTTTGGCAGATACAAATTGTGAACTAACGCTTAGAACGTGCTACCGATAATCACAACAATAATAAACTAAACACGCTGTATATTCCAATTAAAACATATGTATTACATTCAAACGTAATTTTAATCTCTCACCTTGTACTCGAAGCAGAAGCATTCACTCGATCAATTTTTTATGCCACTCGTCAGATACAAATCTCCAATATATTTATCTGGTACCTACTTCAAAATTCAGTAGACTTAGGTATGTCAAAGCCATAATTTTATCACGTAAAATTGCGTTTTATTAAATCAATACAATGCCAAGATAAGATGTACGTATGCTTGTGTTAATTTGATCAATTAGAGCATCAGCTGGATCACTTGACTCACGTTCCTATGTTATTACAGAGTGCCATGGATTCGTCTAGTCAATGAATTTTTGGGTGTGGAGTTGTGTGTACCACCGATTTTGTGCAGTGCGAACTTGAGTTTGGCCTTTTTGGTACGCTATGGAGCCCAGCGAGAAGCAGAGGTTGGAGTATGAATTGAACGGGTATGTCTTTTTTTAAGTCTGTTTAGATTTGTACAAACTGGACAAGTTCGGTTGATTATTAGTCCTGGGGTTCCACGAACTGAACGAATTTAGCAGTTTTTAATCCCAGGATCGGTACGAACTGCACAGGTGTGGCACTTTTTAATCCTTTAATCTATGAATTTGTATAAAAATGTCCTATTTCTACACATTTTGTGATTTTCCTATTTTTTCGCTTAGTTATGCCGTACATTAAAGTAAAGTTGAGAGAGTAAAATAAGACAACAAATTACTGATTTAAATGCACTTCCTCTTTCACAAAAAATAGTTAAAGAATAAAATAACATTTTCGTCTCCTTTATTGTTAAAACAAACTATCAAATCTCAGAAAATTTCGGTTAAAGAACGGATTATTATTAAAAAAATTAGAAATAACATGTGATCCGTTTGGTAGATCTGCTGTTATCTGAAGTAGCACCACTTACAATTTAGTAGCTATGATAAAAACGAATGCTATTGCCAGTAAGTTACACAAGCACGAATTTCGTACATACATAGTAATAATTTGGATAAATATTAATCTGTAGTGGATTTCATAATATTGAACAACTTAATTAAATGTTGAAGTGGTGCAAAGGTTCCAAAATTGCAAACGAAGTAAACAAAAACATGTCGATTAATTAACTATCATAAAAAATATATTGACTTTTGTGATTAAGAGGTATTTTAGGAAGCAAAAATAAGTTGTACAGAGCGTTTCGTAGGCCCGTGTCATAATTTGAGGACTGTTTTATGCCACGAAGTCTTGACTGATCACAGCTCTCTGAAGATGTATTGATCGATTAAATTCGAGGTAATGGTTTAACATTAAAAGTCATTCACTGAATTGATGTATTAAATCTGTCAACCAGTGGTGGAGGTACTGGCAGACTATAGTCTTTTTATCTTAAAAGCATGTACAGGAATAGGGTAGCTTTCCATTATTTTTTTCAAAAGATTTGATTGAAATATATCTTTCCAGCATAGTGCTATTCTAACATCGTTTTCCACCTCATAAAGTCGTTCTTTCTTTCTATAAAATTGTTCTTTCTCTATTTGACGTTTTCTATCACTTTATAACATCGATTTTTCTATTTGTAACATTATTCTTTCGCTCTATAAAACAATTGTTTCTCTCTGCAATTCGGCAGATGACTTACGTCACTTGCTTCCCCATCATTAACAGGAATAAAAAGAGGGCAACAATAGCAAAGTTGTGTGTTAAATTCGTATTCTCGTGGATTATTATGTTGATGATAATTTGACTGAAAGGTGATCGTGCACCTCCATACTTCTGTCAGGTAGGGAAGGGGTTACCAGGATGCTCAAGTGTCTCTCCCTCAACGGACGTTTGGTTTAGTACTTCGACATTGTCGTTCTTCCTCTATTGATGACGAGATTGCTTGGCCTTGAGATAATGGTTGACCAACCATTTTGTACCTAGAGACGCAGTTGTACCTCAAAATACCTTAGTTTATTTTTTGTATGTTTATTTTGCACTTGACGCATGTGCTGTACCTATTATTGTGGAAGCTTTAGCAGGGTGTCCCACCACGAAATCCATCGATGGATATCTGAGAAACCGCTAGAAGGATTTTTTTGAAATTGTGATGGTGTTATACGGACCGTGGGGCCTACCAAGCTAAAATATTTTCAAGGACATCGTACTTCCGGTTATACCGGAAGTCGATACTAACTTTCTTATTTTAACGGGAACCCCCTGTATATTATTGCATTTTTGGAAAGAGCATCTATTTTTAAGTTGAAAACATATAGCATACTCCATACTTAGAATTGACCGTTTCCGAGATATTTTGATTTTTAAGCAAAAATTGACAGATGCAGACTATCAGCAAAATTTAGTTTTCTCGGAAACATGGATTTATTTTTTTTTTGTGGAAATTGGGCATTTTGTAGAGGAAGACCTAATTTATCGAATTTGACATGAAAATTTTCCAGTTTTTAAACAGGGTGGTCAAAAAAATTATCGAATTGAAGTTCAGAAAATGTGGAAAACTCGAAATTTTTAAATGGAAACCCCTAATTTTTGTAACGTATTCGCATTCTACACTAATATTAAGTGTAACTTTGTTAAAGTTTCTCTGTACCTAAACCCAGTGGCTTTCATTTTATTTACGAATAAACATTTCCCTTTTCTTGAATTTTCCAAATAAAAGTTTATTAGGAAAAAGAGAGCTTTATAACAGGAAAAAAATTTGGGTATGTTTCTGATGACGTCATTAGTCGTTTCTGTCAAATCCCAAAGAAAATACTTTCGACTGAAAATGGAGTTTACCTCATCCCATTTAATACCACGTGTCCCAAATTTTATGTACACCCTGCACTTATTATTTTTAACCTGAACTTATCACAAACGAATGTCTTTAAGCTTTCAAGCATTTTTTTTTTAGATGACCTCTAGATTAAAATTCTGCCTCATTCCCTAGTTTTAGGCAACCACACTACTGAGCTAGTGATTCCTTAAATCTCTGCGGCTGTCACCTGCCTGGCTCTTATTTATAAGATAAGGATAGATTCGTCAGTATTTACCGATACATTACGTAGTACACCTCTCTACGTTACGTAAAGAAACTACTATTAATAATAATAATAAGCGATTATCTAAACCGGAAGATAATACGTGTAGAAGTTTGCTGTTAGAAATGGTTATATCTTAATAATGCAAAAAGTAAATTCAAAACAGAACCTGTTAATCACGCAAAATTACTTAGTGTACCTATGCCAAATGTGATGATTGAAATTTGCATAAGCTTTGGATTGTAAATAACACTTATTTTTTTATTTTCTTTCGGTAATGGGACTATTCTACATAATTTACAGTTAAATTAATATAAACATTTGTCTTAGTGCATGTGCATTTGTTAAATAATGAACCTGAGTATATAAAAAATTAACCACTGGGCGGAGTTGGTAGTTTCAAGGTCATTCGTATGTTAATCACTATCATCAAATTTTAGCAATAGCTGATTCATCATGACCTTATTAAAATAGCCTAGTATTTATTTCTAATAGAATTAAATGGATGTAATTTGATGTAATTGATGATTTTTAACATATTTTCATTATTAACTTTGATTTGCAATTTAGATACAAAAACTGAAGTGCACTGACTACACAGAGCAAAGAGAGTTCTTTAAATGGATTATGAAACAACAAGTGGATATATTTTTAGTTAAAATGGTGCAAATAATCCATTGTTAAATTTACGCAAGTTATTTTCGTAACATTCTGTATAAAAATTTCCTTACAGAAACAATCGTGTATCAAAATGTCTGGGTCATTTATCGTGGAACACTCAGTATACTAGTAATTAATTCGCATAAGGATAACTTGCTTGGTAAAAAAAAACTATTCCCCCTGTTCTACAAACTCACGAGGCCATATCAAGGTCCCGGTCAGTGCTTCGTTTTTGCTTTTTTATTAAACTGAAATATTTATTTTGCTTAATAGTTACGGACGGTGGAATTTGTTTATAAGGGAGATACTATCCCACAAAGTCCATATTGTGCATTGCAATAGAACCATACTCGGTATAATTCGTATGTGAATTGAATTTAAAACGGTTATCGTTGTTGTCCTCATCTGTAAGCGGTTGTAGTGTTGGAAAAATGAAAGCGATACTAAAATTGTAAGTAAAAAATAAATTGGAAGAAAAAGTATTTTTATTTTACATTTTTCGAAAAAAAAAACTTGATAAAAGTTTTGGCTTGCATTTAAAATGAGGTGGCCATGGAAATAGTTGATATTTCATGTAGGGAGTGTCCAGAAAATTAAAAAATATGATAATGTCATATGAGTAAACCTTTATTTTTACACATTTATAGATATTATTTTTTTTTAAGTCGTCCTTGTACATTTTGAGGACCGTTGTCCGCTGTAATTAAAACCCTGTTACTGCTACTGCTCTGAGTTCGGAAGGTGCGGCTCTTAACAGGGCCGTACTCGGCTGACTCTTGTCAATTTTTGATTTCAGTTTGCTAGATTTTGTTCTAGTTGTTCGATGCTTTTAGTTTATTTGTAGTCAATATGTCTATTTAAACATTTGTACAAAGTGTTTCAATTTATAAGGTATATAAGTTATTAAAACAATAATTAAAAAAATGATGAAACCCATATAGAGGGTGTTAATGAATAGGTGTTACAAATCGATATGGTATGTAAAAAATCCAAAAATAAGTGCAGTTTGCTTAATAAATATATATCCTAAAGCGGCTCATTTTCGAGATACAGGGCGTTGAAATTTAAAAATAATAAACTATTTTTTCCTGTAGCTCCGGTATTAGTTAATATTTCTTTATCAAACTCAACAGNGAAGAAGCCAATAAATGGTTTCTGCCATATTTATGCATCCTTTAAGCTAGTAAATCTGTCTGTTGAGTTTGATAAAGAAATATTAACTAATACCGGAGCTACAGGAAAAAATAGTTTATTATTTTTAAATTTCAACGCCCTGTATCTCGAAAATGAGCCGCTTTAGGACATATGTTTATTAAGTAAACTGCAATTATTTTTGGATTTTTTACATACCATATCCGTTTGTAACACCTATTCATTAACACCCTGTATATTTTTAAATAAATTTTAAAAAGACAAATATTTGGAAACTAACTTGCCTCCTACTTCGAATTTTTTTGGGTCAAATTTAAAAAAACTTTATTAGTGATTTTTTTATCCGGAATATAATAATACCACATTCTACGTCATTCAAAATTTTATCCCGTACCAAATTTCATTAAAATCTATCCAAGAAAAGAGGGAAATTTACACTTCACACTTACAGTTTATAGGATGTGCCATTGTACTACCACTGGTCGTAGGAAGGTCGGTATGACGTAGTGAAAAATGTTTTGGTATTTATCTTTTTTTAAGCACACATGTTCACCTCAAAAAAATTTAAAAAAATTAGGCAGTGTTAAAATTGCAAGAACGGTGAATTAAAAAAATAATAATGACATTTTCCAAAAATTGGATTTTAAAAAAATCGTAGCATGATTTACACTTTTGAAGTTACAGATTCCATATACAGTGTGTCCCAGAATATGTGGGTAATCTCTCGGATTTATACAGGGGTCGTTAAAATAACATGCCAAGTTCCTATAAAAATTTTCCCTATAGGGCCCCCCTACGGAGATACAGGCCCCTAAAAGACGCCCCTGAAAATCGATTTTTTTTTAATAACATTTAAAATACTTTGTGTAATTTAATTATTTTTTAATACGATGGACAACGAATAAAGGTGGCAATTTTTTTTAGATATGCACGGAAAGAATGCCAATTTCATCGGTTTATTTCTCTTTACGGGTATAATAAAAATCATATTAAACAAACATAGTTTTTTCTCGAAAACAGTTCATTTTATCGATATCAACCAAGAGTGCGTTTTTTTAGTTTAAGGTTCAAGCTATATTAAAATATTATTTTTGTGCCTTTATCGTAAATGGTGTAAAACAATTGACATTATTGTGCTACAGCTAGTCCGGCCCTGGCAAACCAAATAAGCCAAATTGTTTTCATGGGTCAATTTTTAAGGAGTCTTATCTGTTGTCCATCGTATTAAAAAATAATTAAATGACACAAAGTATTTTAAAAGTTATTTAAAAAAATCGATTTCCAGGTGCGTCCTTTAGGGGCCTGTATCTCCGTAAAGGGGGCCCCTTAGGGAAAATTTTTATAGTAACTTGTCCTGTTATTTTAACGTCCTTTGTAGAACTCCGAGAGATTGCCACATATTCTGCGACACCCTGTATATTTTAGAGTCACTTTAAAAATAAATGTCTTAGTTGAGCACAAAATTTAAAATTCATTCTGTTTTAAAAAAACAAATTATTTATTAAGAATATAATTTCTCTCCAGGGCATTTAAAAACAAAATGACGTAACGACTGTGCTATTTTGTCATTGCTATGTCAAATGTTTTGTATAATTGATAAATATAACTAATAAATCTAAAGTTACACTTACATTTCATAACTTACAAACACTCCACTATAATGTACTTCTTTACTTTGATTATCCTAGTATGAGGAATTCCAGTCAGCAGTTCAATGAATAGGTTAAAGGTTTATTAACATGCTTCTTGTCATATGACTGTGTTTACCCTGATATTAATGACATATTATGTAAGTTATCAAATGGATGTAATCTTGTTTGCCACTCATTTGTTAAGAGGAATCGTTCCTAACAGCTTCCTCAAATCTGTAAACACAAATTGTTTTCCAATATTCAGTAATTTGCGTAGAAATAGTAGATTTACATGTTCTTTCATCTAAAGTAAGTCAATAGCGATATAAGATACCTGTAAGTCACTAACGGCCGATGAGCTACTTTATAAACAGGCTAAGATTATATTTTTCCAGCTCATATAATAAATACACAAATCTTACAGATAATAGTCTATATCACTAACATAGCTAACGCGAACTACTCCCAGCTCATTTATTGATATAATGTATGTCACCAATTACCAGTTTATTATTGATTAGCTCATATATGTAGACGTGCCCCTTTTGATTTGAGCTAACTAACATTAACAATACTTGCAGCTAGTCTAACTGTTACTTGTATTATTGGTAATGACCTATAAGCTACAAATTAGCTCATAGCTTCCTACTGATTTGAGATGAGCTATATAACTTATGATTAATCTTGGGATAAACATACATAACTTTCGAAATATATATTTTGGGGTTAATATCGACTATAGAAAACTGTTTCCTAATATATCTTTTTGTTTGCTTATGGATTTACTCTTGTTTGTCACTCATTTACTAAGAGGAATTGTTCCTAACAAATTTGTAAAGAATATGTATTATTTTCCAACATTTAGTCACTAGCAATGTGTCATTAATGAGCTGCAAGTCATAATAATTAGCTCATATCTTGTAGCTTCTATAGGTATAAACCCATTCTGATTTAAGCTATTTCACCAACTGGATAAGGTTATATTTTTCCAGTTCATATAAATACGCAGCTTAAATTACAATAGGTGTGAGGTATCCTGTTAATGAATTATATAGCTATAAGTCGTATCTATGTAGCTCATACTGATAATGGTCTTGCATAATTTGAGCTATCTCACTAACATGGCTAAGAAACTTCGACCATTGATATAATTTATATCACTAATAACTTATGAATTTACAGGTTATTATTGATTAGCTCATACGTACTTATGTAGCTCATATAGACATATCCCTTCTGATTTGAGCTAACTAACATTAACTCTTTTCTTGTAGCTCATATAACTATTATGAGATATGTTGCTATTGACTATATATTAGCTCATACAAAAATAACTCCCTGTTGATTTGAGCTATGTCACTTATAACTTTAATCATCTTTAGGTATACAATTATAACTTTTGAAATTTGTGTTTTGTGTTCCCTGTCGACTATAGAAAACTATTTTCTAATGTATCTTTATGCCGAGACCTCTTAAACTTGTTTGTCTATGAAAAATTTCAACAACAACAACAGCAAACATGTCCAAGAGGAAGACGTCTAGTATTATCCGTAAAAACGAAAGATTAAGGCATCACATGCTTTCTTATCTTCGTAATTATTATTTATGTAGGCATAAAAATACGAATTATTTTATATATTTATTTCTTATTTACTTTAGTGTGCCTTACTAACATTTAGAACTAGTGACTATAAGCGTGTCGTCTACAGTTTCATGTAGCTTATCTTTTTCTTTAATTATGTTGCACCTGCCTGGGTAAAAGTTCGTACGGTTTTCCCTTATTGTTTTTTAAATGTTTCTGAATAATTTCAATATGGATGATGACGAGAAAAAGCCTCTGTTGATGAGGAAAACTTATACGACGTACAGAAGGTAAACATATTTTATTCTCCTACTTTTTCTTTCAATTAAAAAAAATGACAAAGAAAGACATCCATTGACAGGTTTTGGGTTAGGTAGTGTCATGTTTTATATGTCAAGTGACAGGTGGAACTGACAATGTGCAATATATCTTCGAATAGTTTTTTAAGTTATGGTTATATTACGAATAACTTATTTCTTTCAGTGTTATGAAAAATGAGTACGATGGGACATCGCCATTACAAGTGGAAAGACCCATTTACCAAATAGAAGACTTGAACAGAGATACGTTGTATGAAAAACCTAATAGAACTCGTAAGTAAACTTTTAATATATATCTTTAATACACAATTGAAACATTCATCAAGGAATTGAGATAATCTAGAAAGACTGTAGATTTGTTTTTTTTTATATTCGTTTCCATCACTTTCTGGTTCGAATCCAATGGTAGAACTAAAATTATATTTTTTTGAAAGCTTAAAAATGAAAAACATAATTTGATGTAGGAGCTGCAGCATGTTAGATCTTCCAGCAGTCCACCGCGATTTTCCTTTCCTTGTTCTGTTTTTTGAGCCCTTTGAACTGCACAAACACATCTACGAGCTGCGGTGTAAAATCTCCAAGAAAAAAGCATACGATCGCGATGCTTTGGCAGCATTTTGGTGACACTCCCCGTAGACTAACATCAAAATATTGAAACTCTCGTTGAAGAATTCAATCAGTATTATCTTCATCTGTTTGTTTAGTATCGCAGGCGTTGTTTTGATGAATCAGGCGTTTTTGTATATACAGGATGTACATAAGCAAATGCGAAAACATTAAGGAATTCAAATTAAAAAGGGGATTTCATGTAAAAAAATATTGCCGACCCTCCTTCCAAATTTATGATCTTTCAAACTTAAACGTTAAAATTAAAACCTCACTTTCGAGCTATACAAAATATAGTTATATTTTTTCTTTATCTAGATCTAGATAAAAACAAAGTTATTTTTACACAACACTTTTGGTGCCTTCTAGTCACATTTTTTTGTTTTATAACTTATTTTTCATTATTTTCTTTAATTCGTTTTGTTAATTTTGTTAATTGTTTTACCAATTATTTTTCATTATCATTCCCATTAATTGCTTCTTTCACATCTAATTTTCCATCGTGTTGCATTCTTAGATATTTAATTTTTGAAAGTGTATTTGTTTCTTGTCGCATGTTCATTTTTTCTTGTCCATATTTTCCAACTCGAAAATTTTCCCTATATTATTTGAACACACATCTTATAACCCTAAAAATGTTTTAATGTTACGCCACTGCACGATATAAGCGCATTGGGAATTTTAATATATACGACTGCTTTCGTAGTTTTTATTATTTTTAATTGCCGTGTTTAGCAATATTTGTGAAGCAATTAGCTAAATATTAACAAGATAAGGAATTGTTTTGTTTTGGGTTATTTTAGGAGTATGTTGGGATTTACGCGAATTTTAAAAAAGTGCAAAAATTAATATACTTTTCTTATTCAGCCACTTCATCAACTGAATGGGTGCTAAACATATTTCGATTAATCCAAAACAACACCAACAGCAATAAAATTAAACCGCAATTGATACGCACGAAAAACATTGCATGTCGTAGCTTCCCAGTGTGTGTGTGCTGTTTTTTGATGCCGCACTAACTTGTCCAGCGGCGAGGTATGAAAATTACAAAAAGAAGCTTTAAAAAATCGACGGAATTTGAGAAAATAGACTTATGCGTTTCCAAAAGTTAAATAAAGGTTAGAAATACCATTTCCATTCAAACATATACCTCGTAGGCACCTATATTTGATTTACTGTCACTTTATCGTCGACGTATAGACAGCTAAAACGTCACCTTTGAAGCGCCAGCGACCAAGATTTTAACGTCTTTTCTTATAGTTAGGTCTAGATGTCGTAAAACCTGCAGTTCAATACACCCTGTAGCAGTTATAAAGAAGACAGTGCCTATACTATCATGGTTACCTGAGTACAGTTGGAGAAAGAGTTTTTTCAACGATATTATTAGTGGTATTACGGTGGCCATCATGCACATACCACAAGTAAGTGGAAAATAGAAGATATTTTCCATTGAAAGATTATACTAAATCAGAAATAAATATTTACAGGGTATGGCTTATGGATTGCTAGGTGGTGTGCCGCCGGTGGTGGGGATCTACATGGCCTTCTTCCCAGTTCTAGTCTATTTTATTTTTGGCACATCGAGGCATGTTTCCATGGGTAAGTAATATTATAACCACATCAGTAAGTTCAAGACTATTACTTGGAATCAAACTAGTTTTATAGATGAAATAAAGTCCGTTCATTTCCTGCAAGTTAATGTCAATTTAGATTTTGAGGTTATGTTATTGGTTTGTTCCTTCGCCCGCTGCTAATGAGTCACTCTTGAGCTAACCAATCGGCTGATGCCTCTTGTGTTTTGTTTCTCCAGGTACCTTTGCCATAGTGTGTCTGATGACAGGAAAAGTGGTGAGCCAGTACACCACGATAGAAATAACACAAGACGGGACCCTTAAACCCGTGATGGCCGAATGGAATCGTACTAGTAGCGACACCTTTCCGCAATACACGAACGTGGAAGTTGCGATGACGGTCACCTTCACGGTAGCCATGATACAGGTTGGTAAACTGGTTTCAACAATTTTATAACAATTTTTATTAAGTAAAACTAGAAAGGCAGGCAAACTCCGCTGACGCGGATTTTTCATTAAAACATTTTAATAAATAAAAACAAAGTTAAAAGTGAAAAGAGGAAAAATTGCCCGTTTCAGAAGTGGATCAATTTTTTGGAACACCCAGTACGTATATGGATTTTCTAAAAAGCGGCTGGTCAGTAAATATTCAACTTTTCTTCAAATGGTTTCATGAAAAAATTAACAAAATGAATCAGAGAAAATCTGGTCCACCTGTGTCAGTTTTATGAAACATCCTGTACAGAAATTGCAAAAAACATTTAGTTAATAAGATACCGTGTGTAGAAATATCTATTTGAAAATTTAGGTAGGTAGTGAAATGAGAAAAAAATCCTAGTCCGTCTGTGTCATTTTTATGAAACACTTAGTATATAAATTCCTCTTGTGTTCTACAAGAAGCCTCTAGACCGATAATTTTAACTTGGGTCAGTTATGTAGAACATGCAGTATATGGACTTTCAAAAAAACCCTTTGGTTAACTTTTCATGTAAATATTTCAATAAAAAAATTTGGAAAATTGAAAAGATAAGTAAAATCAAAGTTCACCTGTGCCATTTTTATGAAACATTCGGTACATACCTTTGTAGAAAGCATATATGATTACTACGATATCAGATTTTTCATAAAAATATTGCAATCAATAAAATGAAATATATAGGAGCCTCTGGACTGTTCGAGTTTCAACGCAATATTTTAGACGCCCTGTATATAGAAACCTATTTGAAATTTTATATTTTTTTGTTATAGAAAGTTTTAAAAAGATGAATCCATATATAAAATTAAATTACGGCAGTAAATAAAAAAAAATCTTA